TACAAAAAAACATATTCACTGTTTATAAGTATAAATATGTATTGATGGTGACGAAACAAATATAATATATATTTATAATACTATAAGGTATCTGCATACAAAGAAGATGGAGAAACAGCAGAAACCCGACAACAGCGCCGACGGTGTGCAGCACACCAGCCTCACCACCGAGGTGCTGGAGGACTGTGTGGGCCCCCGGTGGGACGACAAGCGTCACGTATCTCTGGACTTCTCTTCTTCTTTATTTTTTTTAGAGACACTCCGCGGCAGAGACGGGGGGCTGCTGAACCCGCGGCTGAATCTGAGTAATCTACTGACTCTAGATATATCAAACAACGCGATCACCGAGATAGATTCTGTGCTGTCTGTACACCGCGGCTTCAAGCGCCTGCATACACTCAAAGCAGCTCACAACCTCATCGCGCATGCAGACCTAGAACTACCAACACTCAAACACCTCGACTTGTCTTATAACCAACTCAATAGATTGCCCAGACTCGAAGGAATCAGAAACACCGAAGAGCTTCTACTCGCCAACAACCACATCGCCGGTATATACACATGTATATATATGTATATATATTTATATATATTTATATATATATATATATATATATATATATATATATGTGTGTGTGTGTGTGTGTGTATATATATATGTATATATATGTATATATGTATATATAGATGGGAAACAGTGCGAGGAGAGAGTTGGTGGTGGGGTGGCTGTGTCACTGGGCCAGAGGGGAGAGGTGGGGTTGTTGTTATTTCATGGTTTTAGTTGCTTTCTTATCGTGCGTGTCCGTCTGCCAATTGGTGGGGTTGTTGTTCTCACTCCGATACCTGCCTGCCTGCCTGCCTGCCTGCCTGCATGCATGCATGCATGGCTGCATGCATGCATCTGCATGCGTTCTGCGTGCAGAGTCTGAGCTGCAGAGTTTGGTGTTGGTGGGGAACCTGCGAGTGTTGGATTTATCTTTCAACGCCATCAGCACGCTGCCGTCGAACTTTGTACAGGAAATACACTACCTCAAGGGACTCACCAAACTCACGGTGCTGCTGCTGCTGCTGCTGCTGCTGCTGCTGCTGCTCGGGCTGGTGTTGCTTCTGCTACTGCTGCTCGGGCTGCTGCTGCTGCTGCTGCTCTCGAGCAGCTGCTGCTGCTCGGGCTGCTGCTGCTGATCGGGCTGGTGTTGCTGCTGTTGCTGTTGCTGCTGTTGCAGCTGTTGCTGTTGCTGCTGCTGCTGTTGCTGCTGTTGCTGTTGCTGCTTCGACAGCATCTGCGTGTGTGTACGGCTGTATATCTCTGTAGTTTGTTTTATAAGAAGTATTTGTGTTATATATTACATTGTATCTTTCTTTTATTG